AAAGAGGTTGTTGGAAAATTCATTTTTAGAAACTCAAAAAATAATTCGTTGACTTTTGACTTTCTAAATGTGGAACATGTTTAAAAATCCTGATTTTGTTTGGTTTTTACAATTTGGAGATTTTTTTTTATTATTTTAGCCAAGTATCTGTTCACGCGTTACATGATTCACGGAATTAAATCTGGGATTTTCTTTTGTTCACGCGTTTCGCAATTAAAAGTTGTTCACGCATTGCAATTGTCTGTTCACACGTCTCCCCAAAAATCTGCACCCTCCCTATTTATCCCCATAAATTAGGTTCTCTATCTCTCTCCCCAAACACTAAGAGATCCGTCCAAAATCTTTAGCCGTTGCAGCTCCATAAATCACGCCTTAATCTCCCATAACTCCTCACGGTTTCCAAGCAAGGAGTTCAAGAGTCGCTAAATAATCTTCGTATCTGCGTGCCGGAGGAGAAGTTGCGGGTCATGATCAGGAAGATTGACGCCAACGAGAACGTCTAGGTAGATGCTGAGGAGTTCGAAGCCCTGTACGCAGCGGCAATGGAAGATGGCAGAGGCGACGAGGGTGGTGGCGGTGAAGAGGACGTGCGGGAGGCATTTAGGGTTTCGATCGGGACAGGACGGGTTCATCACGGCGGACGAACTGAGGTAGTTGCTGGCGGTGCTGAGGCTGAATTGGGTGAACGCTGGAGGAGTACCAGAGTATGATCATCATGGTCGACTTAGGTGGCGACAAGAGGGTAAACTTCGGTGACTTCCGACGGATGATGAAGTGCGGTCAGTTCGTCATGGTAATTTTTTTTTTTTTTAAATAATTTTTTTTGATTTGATGTGCAAATTGCAATTGCCAATTGGTTGGTGTAGTTTATGGATTTTGATTCTTGCCTTTATTTTAATTGCGCTCATAACTAATTTTACGTTTTCGATCTGCATACTGCTTATGGAATCAAGATTTTTGTTTTGATGTGCAAATTGCAATTGCCAATTAGTTGGCGTAGTATATAGGTTTTGATTCTTGCCTCTATTTTAATTGGGATGAGAATTAATTTTATGTTTTCGATCTATAAATTTCTTATGGGTTTAGGCATAAATCGGCTGAACATTTTCAGCGCGAAAAAGGCGACTCGAGGGCCTTCGCAGGCCGCTTTGGGACTGCTTCGCGTGTGGGTTTGAGGTTCGGGTGTACGTGATGGGCGGTTGAGCTTCACGATTGGAAACTCGCAGTCAGTGGACGTGTACTGCCTCAGGACCCGTGCTGCAGGAGAAGAAGGGGTGCGTCAGGTGTGAGCACCGCCAGTTACCATTGTCTGGTAAAATACAGACAACAAAACTGTTTTTCTAAATTCTAACGGTGTACCAACGCCATTTGTGTTATGACTAAACCTTATGAAAAGGTTTTTGTAATTGTCCCGTTGGTTATGATAATATCTCCACATTACCAGCTAGCGAGTGAAGCATGAACATTTAGGTGATTTTTGTTGTTACACAAATATAAGCAGTGAATTCTTACAGAAATCCTACTTTGGATAGTACAAGTGTATTCTGATACTTTGCATCAAAAATATAATTGCCCATGTTGCATTTGTTTGTATTTACCAAAATGCATCCAGGAGAAATGTATTTGTGGAAGTACAATGCTTTGTAGTAGCACCTAAGGGGACACCATTTAGTTTCAGAAACAAAGTTACAATGTTTATGTTGTTAGACTAAACATAATGGTGTAGCTTTTGTATTTTATTGATGTAAAAATCTGGAAGTCCATATAATAATTGAACATTTTACTTTTGACAGCTGAGAAGGCTCATTATACCAAAAGATATCCAATCACTGCATTAAGGAAATACATAACGGAAAACAAATTTGCAAGCGAAGCAGATTTGAAGGCCACCGAGACCATGATTGAAGAAATTTTTGAAGATTTTGTTGAGTTTGCCAATAAAAGCCCGATTCCAGCCTGAAATAAGCTGCTAGAGAATGTATTTTCCGGCCCAAGGGGATTCAGAATTGGGCTTGATGGGAAGTACAATAATGAGGACCCTAAATTTTTTTAGCTGAATCTTTATGCCTATTTCTTATTTAAACGGCAATTACAACCTCTATTCTTGCTATGAGTGTTTTCGATGTTGTTTCTAATTGTCCAGGCTTTTTGTTGTTTTGTTGTTTGTTTTTCATTTTTTTAAGGTCTTTTTTTTTAGTGTTGTTTGTTGGATGATTTTTAATTTAGCAAACTTGATGTGCTACTCAGCGTTCCTAGAGACTTCAATATCGAAATAGAATGACTGTTATAAACTCTAAAATGTGAATTATTTTATAACAAATGAAATAAACCTATAAGTCATATATTAAATTATTATATATCATAAATTAGAAGGAAAAAATATCAATATTCAGAAATGCTTATATATTAATAAATATTTATTCATTTTTTTTAAACATGCAATTTATAAGTATTATCCCGTGCATCGCACGGGCTACGTACTAGTTTTGGTTTAAATTGAATTTGTTGGACAATTTGAGTTAATTTTGATAAAATTAATTGGGTTAGATTTGAGTGAGATTTTAAATTTGAATTAAAAAAATATTTAAAATATAATGATTAAAGTTGATTTAATGTAAAAGTAGGAAATACGTGATTGAAAGTGATGAGTAGTTAAAATTATGTGATGAGTTGATGAATATTGAATGAAGGCTGATGCAACGTGTGAAGATAATTGATTGATATTATTTAATTATTGATAATATTAAGGATGATTGAGTTGATTTAAATTTGAATTAAATTTTGAGTTAAAAATTATATTGTCAAAAGTGACCTTATAATTTGTATCCAATCAAGGCCTAAGACAGTATAAAGATAAAAATATACTTCTTGGTTTATTTCCCTGTATAAAACGAGAGGAAAGAGAGAAAACAAAAACCCGCATTCTCTTTGTATGAATTTAGGTAAAACTCATATTTATAGTCGCAGTTTTTTGGTTTGGGGACTAAACTTGCTGCTATGTTCGATATATGTGCCGCGGTGTTTGGTTAGGTTGACGGTTGGGGTAGTCGTTTGGTTTGCCGGCGAGGTTTAGTGAATATTTTATTTTTATTGTTTTTTAGGGGTGTCTTTTTTCTTTCGTTTTGTTAAGTCCATCGGCGTCTGACACTTAGCCCTATGTCTTGCCGACAAAAGTTTAAGCAGAGTCGGGTCGGACCCAGCAACTAGCAGTTCAGTCCCGACCCGTGCCATAGATCAGTATAATTTAATCTGTGAATCAAGATTAAAAAGTAAGAAAGAGCATGAGAAGTAAAAAGAGGAGTTAATAAAACTAATCAAATGTTTTAATTAAGCAATTAAATCAATAATTTATCTCAATAATTCTTCAAGTAAAATATTATATTAAATAATTTGTTAAACTTGTAGATTAAGAGGAGTTGAGCCCTCCAGAAAAAATCGAACATTCATTCATCATCATCCGCATTTAAGGTGGGATTTTTGAACTATGTCTTATTCCTTATAATCGCATGATATTATGGTTGATGTATGTATGTGTATATTTTTCCTATGAGTGGCAATTCCTGAGAGGGGCATCGGTTATAGCAGATCTCCCAGTATGCAGTTGGGCAGTAAGTCAGGTTCCGCCGATAAAGGTGTGTACACATGAGATAAGACTCTCGTTGTGCGGTTTGACAGTAACCTAGGTCCCGACGAGAGTACTATTGAGAAAGTTGAACAAAATAGTTTTTTTTTTTTTTTTTTTTTTGAATAGAACGGCAAAGCCGATACAAGCTAAACATATGTATATAATTTTACAATTTAGATTTCAAGCTATATTTTTATAATTTAATGTAACTAGTACGATACTCGTATACTAACACGAGTATTTGATACAATATTAAATGTATAACAAAAAAAAAGTTTATATATTTTATTAAAGTTGCGAATATAAATAAAGAACAATATATACTATTCATTAGCTCACACATTTATATAATGCCCATCATTATTTTACTATTTTGTTGTGATATTATAGTTTATTATTATTTTTTATATTACATTATTTTATATTTTAAAGATCACTAACTTTTTTATTTTTCACTCCATCCTACTTTTCCCATGCAATCCCTCTTTATATATTAGTTCAAAACGTGTTGAATTTAAGTGGCAAATTCACACGCTTCGGATGCTGATATGGTGAAAATCTATGCTTCGTAATGTTGTTTGTATATTCATTTTTGCTCTAGAATAAGACTTGGTATTAGACATAAATAATTTTCTTCAAACTAGGTAAATGTACATTTAATTTTGTTATTTTTTCCTCTTAGTACACATTTCTTCCTTAGTTTGGGGGCAAGTAACAATCTTACCATCTCATATTTTTTCTCCTAAATTGTCATTTACAAATAACTTTCTGCATTGTTTATTCTTTTTTTTTAGCACATCAAAGAGGGACATCTCTTCTTTTTTAAAAAAATGAATAAAGGACAAATTAGTCTTTTAGGGGGCGATAAATATCGAAAAAGGGGCGGTGTTTAGCGTTTCACAATTTTTAAGCTATTTTTTTTTTTATTTTATCAATACTTTTTATTATATATTTCTTAATTCAACACACGTGAGTATTGTATTAATATTTATTTATTTATTTTCTTAAAAAAATATATCTAATTGGACCTGTAGAGTTACGTATAACCATACACCATTGGTTATCTAATGGGTTAGCCCAACAGCCTATACAGTGGATGCGCTGTGTTGACGGACGGTCGCAGCCCCGTCGAACAATAGTGTTACCGCTGAAACACGGAAAAATAGAAATTTTATATCAAAACACTATGTATGGATATTTTTTTTTTTTTTTTAGTAATGATTTAGAATAGAACAAGTATTCAAACGTTCTATTTTCTGCTTTAACAGTTTGGTACCATGAAATGAACCCTAGATTTCCCATTGCCTCCCCCAACACTTTGACGTTGTTATGTGCAAAACCTACAAACTCCTAGTAAATTTACAGAAAGACTAGGATGACCACACCGCCAATTGCAATGAACACCGTGACGGGTGGTGGCGCCGCCGCTCAGTTCCGGAAGGTCCTGATAACCGGGGTGAGCCGTGGCCTGGGCAAAGCCTTAGCTCTCGAATTGGCTAAGCGTGGTCACACCGTAATCGGCTGCTCCCGCTCTCCAGACAAGCTTCCCTCCCTCCAGTCGGAGCTATCCTCTGCCTCCGACAACAAGAGCAACGCCAACCAGCACCTCATTATGAATGTTGATGTGGTAATTCATCTTTTCCATTGTGCTCTCATCTCTCTGTTTGTTTCTTTTGCAGGTTATATGTGAGTAATATTGTTTTATTTTTTTTTTTTCTAATGGTTATCTATTAGAGGTCTAATGGTAGCGTCGAGGAGTTGGCCCGTGCTTTGGTGGAGAAGAAGGCCATTCCAGACATTATAGGTGCGTGTGCTTATTAACGTATTTGTGTTGGGGCCTAAATTTGGTGATTTGTGTTCAATGGCTTAGGTTTTGAAAGCACATGGTTGTGGATGAGAGATGCTCTGCAGTTTTAGCGGCGCGCCGTTGTGAAACTATATGTCCTTATGATATAATTATTAGCTTTTAAATTTATTTATTTCAAGTGTCAATAAGATGAGAATGGTCGATTTACTTTTACTATAGTTTGAGTGATGTAAGTTTGTTCCATGTTGAGGTGCTTACATTTAATGTTCATTGCAATGTGGTGATGTGATGAAGATAACATATGTAACAGAGCTTATCAGGTGTTTTTATTGTGGGTCGAAATGTAAGCATAGTTTTCAACTAGAACCATGTGGGTGAAGATATAATGTAATTTGTGATTATCTGAGGTAATTAGCGTAAGTTAGTGTGATTCTGTGAAACGCTTTAGCTATAATGCTTGCTGCATTCCATCCTCGTAAGAATTTTAATCATTAGTCTCTTCAACATACTCTACTATCTTAAAAACTTATATTTCCTTGCAAGGTAAATCTTCAAAACAGTTATGAACATTGATTAGTCTCTCAGTAAGATCTTGTAATCCCCAATTGTTTATGCCACAATTGCAAGAAATTTCAAGTGTTTGTTAATGTTTGAAACAACCTTGATAAACAATTTCCTGCCTTTCCCATTCTCTGGTTTCAGGCAGTTTCTTTTATGTTTTAATTTCATACTGTGTTTGAACGGTCCCCAATTACTCTATTTGCTTCTTTTGACTGGCCAAGAATTTTATTGTGGTAGCATCTTTGATGATTATTCCAACATAACGAATTCTTTTATTTATGATCTTTATTTTCCCATGTTGCTGCTAATGGAAAAGTATGGAGGGCACTTTCTTTTGTTTCTACTCATGTTTGTTTGCATTTAATTTATCTTGCTCATTGTATGTTAATCATGTAAACTAATGTAGCATGTGTGATCCTTCTCCAGTGAACAATGCTGGTACAATAAATAGGAACAATAGACTATGGGAGGTTCCACCAGATGAATTTGACACAGTTATTGATACGAATATCAAGGGGACAGCAAATGTACTGCGGCACTTTCTTCCAATAATGACTGAAAACAAGCATGGGATTGTTGTTAACATGTCGTCTGGATGGGGAAGATCTGCCGCTGCACAGGTAAAATTGACCTGGAGAAGTTTAATTGTCAGCTAACATAGAGTACGTTCAAATTTTTTCCTTTTTTTTTTTTTTTTTTTTTTTCTATTTTCTTTATAACTCTCGGCAAGTGAGAAGGTGCCATTTTTAGCTGCTAATTTGTCATGAGAAACCATAACTAGTAAATGATAGTTACTCCTCTGTTATGCTTTCTCCTTGAAGTGTTGTTTGATTAAATATTATCATGCCTATCGCCACTAGAATGAACACAATATTAGGCCGCAGATAGGCCACTAGAATGAACACAATATTAGACCGCAGATAGGCATTTTGAAAAATACTTACCTTGAAGTCTTATATGAACTGTTTGTATTATTATTATTGTTGTTGTTGCTATTATTAGTAGTAGTGGTAGTAGTAATATTATTATTTTTAATGGTCCCAAATTGGGCTGTATATGACATGTGTGGTGATAAGAACTTGCGCAGAATTTCTTATTCCGAAAACCTAAATATTTGGGCCTTCCATCTTTTACCATGTTATTAATGCGTTGAGACTTCATTATATAATCTAGGTGGCTCCTTATTGTGCCTCAAAATGGGCAGTGGAGGGTTTGACGAGGGCAGTGGCAAAGGAGTTGCCTGCTGGAGTGGCTATTGTTGCTCTCAATCCTGGTGTAATTAACACTGAGATGCTCCAGTCATGTTTTGGAAGTTCGGCTGCTCTATATCCGACTCCTGAATCATGGTATCCTCTCTCTCTCTCTCTCTCTCTCTCTCTCTCTCTCTCTCTCTCTCTCTCTAAGTGAAAACCTAATTTGTGTAGATGTATGCCGGAATGTTGATGAAAGTATCAGGTGGCATATCTCTGATTTTGCAACACATCTTTGCCATTTGTCTTGAATATGGACCGTTTGAGCTCGAAGTTCTTGATTCTTATATTTTATAACAGGGCTCCCAAGGCAGCTAACCTGATTCTCCATCTGACGGCGGCAGATAATGGTGCATCTCTCACCGTGTGAATATGCCATTGATGTTTTGTACATGAGGAGTACGGCACATATTAAACAAGGATATTTTCTCTCGACTTTTGATTGGCATAAATCCATTCATTCCTTGTGTGGCTACCTGGAAGATCCATCGTAGAAGAACAAGAAAAAGAGCTTGTACTCGCAGAACCATAACTAAAACTATGGTATCCACTTGTAGTGAATTCATTGTTATATTTTAGTACAACTTAATTTTCATGTAATCATGATACATGATGTGATCATTCGAAGGGCGAAGCAAGAGTGAAATTTAAAAGTAATAATCGTTATACTTATACCCATGTTTGTTGTTATTGCAATCAAAATATTATTTTACAAATTTAATTGGTAAGTTTCATGTGAAAAAAACTTTTATTATTAGTAACCTATTTCTATTACTTGAATTATATTTAATATTTAAGCTTTCAAATCATTGTTTTATTTTTTAGGAACCTATTTTTTTGAAACTTTTTACTTATTTAACATACTAGTATGAAAATAACACTTGTATGCATGAGCTTTAATTAAAAAAATATTTATACATAATATGTTTTTAAATGAAGTTTTTATAAAATATTATATTATTAAGGTTACATTATTATCTTATTTAAAATGCATTCTATCGTGCTGAAAAATCGTTCGACCTATGTCACAATAATTTTTTCTAACATTATCATACAATTCTGTTTGATTGATAAATGCCAATTTTATTATTTTTCAATTATTGATTGATGTTTAGTAAGTTTTTATTTTAAAAAAGTAAATAAAAAATTATGAGATAAGTTTCATCCCATCAAACTTATTTAATACAAGAAAATTACAAAACTAATTAAATAAATTATAACCACACTCAAATAATTTTTCATAAATACAATTGAAAGGGACCATTTTAACAACAATAAAACTAATATCAAAATAATTAGACAACCATATATTTTCAACAAATATATATACTTTAACTTTTCATACTTTAGAAAACATACGACGAGTTGACCCGCCCAACGACTATATTTCATAAAAAAAATTGTATTTTAACAAATAAACTAACTTACTTGGGAAACGTTAGTCACGTTACAAACCATTCCGTGATGTACTCGTCGTGTATAGTTGATCAACTGTTAAAATCCGAAATGATTACGTGACATAACACTATAGAATCTCCCTACTTACATAATCATTTTGATAATTTTCTTAATTAAAATAAAAATGGAGGACGAAAGGGCAAAATGAAACGCTATCCTCCTTCAGCTTCCACATATACAAGCAGCTGACCAGTGAACTGATTCAAAGCCCAACAATGGCGTGTAGAGTTCAACACTCATTACAAAGCAGCCTCCGCCTTTTCTCCTCACCCTCGCCGCTCTTTGTGCGCACCTCCTTCAAGTATCCAGCAGTGCGCTTCAGAAATCCAATTCACAGAGCTTTCTACTGCACTTGCGCCGCCGTGGACCCTTTTATCGTCACCACACCGCTCTACTACGTAAATGCCCCTCCGCATATGGGAAGCGCCTACACCACCATCGCCGCCGATGCAATTGCCCGTTTCAAGGTTCGTTTCTCTGTTTATTTATTTATGTTTTATTATATTGAGTTTGATTGCTGATTATTGTGAGGATTAGGCGAAAACTGATGTTGAATGGACGGCTTAGGTTTATTGTTTTTGATTGTTTGATTCTCTTTTTTCTTTTCATAACATTGGCGTAGTCTAGTTTCTTTTGTGGATGAAAAACAGCTGCTTTATATGATCGAGTTTGTGAACTGGTTTTGCAGAGGCTTCTAGGGAAGAAGGTTATATTTATAACCGGCACGGACGAGCATGGGGAAAAGATTGCTACTTCTGCAGCTGCCAGTGGTTCCAGCCCCGGAGAACATTGTGATATGATTTCACAAGCTTACAAGGCAATCTGGACCGAGGTACATTCAACTTTCATATATATTGCTTTGATACTTGAAATAGCCTTTTCTTTGTGATATCTCTGGTTTCTTGTGCATAACTCTGTCTTGTTGACAGTTGGACATATCTTATGACAAGTTCATTCGCACGACCAATCCCAATCATGAAGCCATTGTCCATGAATTCTATGCAAAAGTTCTTGCCAATGGTGATATCTACCGTGCTGACTATGAGGGACTGTACTGTGTCAACTGTGAGGAATACAAGGTTACTTGTTTATCATTTACTGTACCTATCTACCCATACTGGAAAAACATTTTTGTGAAGTTAGTAAGATATCCAAACTTAGGTAGCAGTGTAGGGTTGCTAATTTGTTGATTTTATGCATAGTGAACTTAGGTTTACAAGTTTTCCTTTTGCTGTTCTGCTGGTTCTTTTTTTTTTTTTTTTTTTTTTTTTTTTTTTTTGTTGTTTTTTTTTTTTTTTTTTTTTTTTTTTTTTTTGGTGTTGGTGTCAATCTTCATAGGATAGCAGCCACTCTACTTATGTTATATAATAGTCTAGGAATCATAGTATCCAAGAGTCCAATGGAAGGTATTATGTGCAATTTTTGTGTCACTAAAATGTGAAGCTGAAATTCACTTCTCATTTGGCCATACATATGGTTTTGTGTATGTCAATATAGTCATATGCGCATGATTAGTACTTGAGCTGTTTTGATAGCATGTGAGTACCTGAAACTGTTTCACCTTTGTCATCTGTAGGATGAAAAGGAATTGTTGGAGAATAATTGCTGCCCAATGCACCTGAAGCCATGTGAATGGAGGAAGGAAGACAATTACTTTTTTGCACTATCAAAGTATCAAAAGCGACTAGAACAGATTTTAACGGATAACCCAGACTTTGTGCAGCCTTCTTTTCGTTTGAATGAGGTTTTACAATTATATGGGATTTATTCATATTCAAGTTCAACTTCCTTTGTGTTTGGTTCACCAAACATTACATAATAAGCTCAAAATACTGATCCTTACCTTTGTTTGTTGAAATATGTTTCTGCGTGATAATTCTCTGTGAATCTATTGATTGATCAATTTTCTCTTGTGACATTTTTTCTCAACAAAATATTCTAGGTGCAAGGTTGGGTAAAAAGTGGCCTGAGAGATTTCTCCATTTCTCGAGCATCAGTGAACTGGGGAATCCCTGTCCCTAATGATGCTAAGCAGACTATATATGTATGGTTTGATGCTTTACTGGGGTAATCTGTTGCATCCAGAAGTCTTGGATATTGATTGATTATTTTTTGTTCTTTTGTCTTCTTTCATCGGTTGCTTCTTTATCTATTCGGGGCCCAATCTTTCTTTTCCTTCTGTTCATTAGTATTTAAATGATAATTAGCAAGAAAGCAATGGCTTATCCGGATTTCCTTTTATGACATCTGTCATATTAACTTGGATCCTGTGTTTATCCTTTCAAGTGGTTCAAAATGGTATTTCATAAAATATTCAAACGAATCTGTGCAGCTTCCCCCCCCCCTCCCCCCCTTCCCTATGAACTTTCTCTATTGTGATTTGTGAGTTATGAAAGCTGTGGTTTTGCTCTGATTATAATATTTTCTTGTCAGACGTAAACATATTTTGGATCAAGGCTATGTTCTTCACTTCTTCTGTCTGATTGTGTTTAAATGAAAAATCTGCAGATATGAACAACTTTCTGACACATGATCGTGAACAACTTTTCAGCTGTGCTCACTTTCTTTGGTCTTGTATTCGTTATTCTTATGGCAATTCATTTATTCTGTTTCCCACTTCCTGATGTCTTGTCAACAGTTACTTATCTGCTCTTTCAGAGGATAATAATGAGCCTAACTTACATGCAGCCATATCGTCTGGTTGGCCTGCATCAGTACACTTAATCGGGAAGGTAGTGTTTCTTTTATTTTCTTTCCCTTGTTTCTCATTTTTTTTTTTTTTTTTTTTTTTTTTTTTTTTTACCTTTTCGTTTTGATATGTGGATAGTGGAGTGTAGAACTTAGGAGCGGGAAGCTATTTTAACTAAGCATCTAGATATCCGTCCAATCCAGGAGCTGAAGTCTTTTGTATCATTAGTTAATTTGACAAAAGTAATATTGGAGCTTAAAACATGATTTAACGGCAGTATTCAAGGTGTCTCATCAATTATGGAACTTCCACAGAGTTTTTTTAGAATTTGTAATTTGTTGAACAATTACTAATCTCACTCTCTAAGATAAATGGCCCAAAACTAATAAAAAAGTTGAAGTACAAAATTACACTCTTATGCCTGAATGTTCTCTCTTTGAGCTTTGTATTAGTGCTTATGATTACTTCGCCATTTGGTGTGCGGCATTATTCTGCCTCAAGGGCAAAGGATTGATTTACCAATTCAAAGCAATTTATGCAAAGGGCTTTCTTTAACAGAATATATAGTTTCTTGTATGGAGCCCGTAAGGGGTTTGTGGATACTGCCATATTTTAATTGATAAAAAATAGTTCAAAATAATTCTCTCCTATTACTTTGGTTTTTAGTAATGTTACTGGAGGTACTATATCAATTGTCAAAACAATATGCAGGACATATTGCGGTTTCATGCAGTTTATTGGCCCGCAATGTTGATGTCTGCTGGAATAAGCCTGCCAAAGAAGGTTTTTGGGCATGGATTCTTGACGAAGGTATTCAACTTGGTCTCAGGTCGCGTACTCATTCTTTTTTCCCCCCCTTTTTCCCATTTAAATATTCTTTGTAGTTGCATTATATCTGTGGACGAAAGATGCACACTTTGGTCATTTGTCTTGACAGTTATCTATTTCTGTACATGCCATCATTCCTCAAATAAGTAGTATAGGGGTATTCAAACTCCAACACATAATTCAAGGTCTTACTACTTCTCAATCTGGACTTGAATAATGCTTTGTTCTCCTAACCATATTGCTGTATTTTTAACAACTCATAATCTCTCGGATAATTTATGGTTACATGTTTTGTTAGATGTTCTATTACGTTTTTGTTATGTGTTATACATAATTGCCTCTAGATCATGCCATCTTCTATTAAACTCAACTTGAAATAAATAATTAAGCATGCATCCTATATTTTCCTCATGTTTCAGACTGAATTAGAATGAATTAAATATTCTGTCGTTTTTCTGAATCCGTATTTTATCTAATGGAAAAATGTTTTACAATCACAAGGATGGGTTAAAAATGGGGAAATCGCTTGGAAATACTCTTGAACCGACAGATTTGGTGCAAAGATTTGGGGCTGATGCAGTGAGGTATTTCTTTCTCAAGGAGGTGGAATTTGGTAGTGATGGGGACTACTCGGAGGACCGTTTCATCAATATTATCAATGCAAATCTTGCAAATACCATAGGTACTCAACTCACTTTTCCCCGCTTGTATAAATTTTTCTTCATTTTTGTGAGTAAAGATATTAAAAGCAAAAGTTGGTGGAGTTGGTGGAGGATTTTTACATTGCTAGGAAGCACTTGAGTTATATGCTTAAAAACCATGTATCTTCCAGTAAAAGTTAATGCAATTTGCACGAAAGTTTATGTAACGGGGCGGATGTCCCGGTTTTATAATTACGTTCCATTAGTCAATGAGGCTCGACAAACTTCTACATCCAGCACATGTATTGTAAGATAAAAAGTTTAATCTGTTGGTAACAGTTAAAAATCAGAAAACATAAAAAAATATTAAAAGTAAAAATGAAAGGAGCATTTGTAACTTTGTCTCATGACATGAGGTAACTTAAGTCAGACCAAACTAGCAATCGAGGACGTCTCTGTTTCTCCTATATTGTAACATAAAACCAAAACGATGAAGGCACACACACACACACACACACATATGACGTGCTTCTATTTTGGGAACTTCCAGTCATGCTACAAGAATGGATGACATACAATTCGACATAATATACACGGGGAAGAATCCCATTGTATTACGTATGACCTCATTTTAAAAATCATCAACCATTAAACTCGCTCATCATGTTTTGTCAACCTTCTATGACAAAGTAGCATATTTCTGGTACCTTCACTGAATTTGCTTTATCTTGGCTGATGTCTAATAGTAACTTTCACTTAGGTAATCTTCTTAATCGTACACTTGGACTTCTGAAAAAGAATTGTCAATCCACAATTACCGTTGATTCAGCAATTGCAGCAGAACAAAATGCATTCAAGGATACCGTGGAAAAGCTGGTAATATCCTCTTATATAATTTAATCTTCTATAATTCTATTATACTTTGAGGGTTCTGCTCATTAGTAGAAATTTGGGGAAGTAGTTTATAAAACTTTAGACTATCTGTCAGTTTGTTTCTTAAAATGTGGTGTGATATAACTATTGAACTAGTTAACCTATTGCCAGCTACTTCTTCAAACGATAGAATCATTTAAACTGATCCTTTATGCAGAACAGAAAGGGATACGATGAGATAGATACAAAGACAGGGGACAGACCCTATACCTAACTGTCAAAGTGAGCCGCTTTATTCTGAATTCGTTTCTCAGAATGAATCAAATCTCCCCAAGTAGGATTAGAACCTACGACCAATCGGTTAACCGCTTAAGAGTTCCATTCGATATGTCTCGTTGATGTAATTGAGTGTTTGGTCTCTTTTGTAGTTTTGTCCTTATAATAGTAACCATGAAGGTATGAGGTCATTATTCTTAAGTTTGTGGCCAATTTCGGAATGTTCATTCCTGGAAACACAGATATTTCTTTCTCAGTGGTCCAAGATGGAATGTGGGAAAAGGAAAAAAGAGATGCTATGGTTTATTGTTAAATATACCGAGAACGTTTGATTGTGCAAAATGTGTTGTTGCTTTTATACAACATTTATTTATACCACTTGTATATTTCCCCTGCCCAATACCCCTTGACCTCTTTGATTGTTCATCACCGTTTTATGTTTTTCTTATATTCATTTTGATGGATCCTTTTACTGAGACTAGAAACAGCGTATAACCCTTGATTTCCGCACTCCATTTTAGGTCGAGAAAGCCAGGCAGCACTATGAGAATCTTGAATTGTCGTCAGCTTGTGCAGCTGTGCTAGAGATTGGTAATACTGGGAATGTATATATCGATGGAAAAGCGCCATGGTTACTTTTTAAGCAAGGGGAGTCTGGTTTCGAATCTGCATCCAAGGTTTGTTTATGTGTCTACCTTGTGTTTTTCGCTTAAATGCTTGAATTAAGTGATCTTTTAGTTCTTTCTGTCAATTCTTCTGTTGTCTATGGCACTAATAATAATAATTAATAAACTTTGATTTTCATTTTCTTGTTCTCTGAATAGGACTTGGTAAATGTATTAGAAGCAATGAGGATTGTGGCCGTTGCTATATCCCCTATTACCCCAAGTTTGGCTCTGAGAATATACACCCAGCTTGGCTACTCTGAAGACCAATTCTATGCCATCACCTGGGTCTCTCTCTCTCTCTCTCTCTCTCTCTCTCTCTCTCTCTCTCTCTCTCTCTCTCTCTCGCATTAGCATAATTTTGAAATATTTATTTTCTCAATGATTGTTGCAGAATGACACCAGGTGGGGTGGGCTTAAGCAGGGTCATGTCACGGCTCTGCCAAAGCCCGTTTTTGCCAGAATCGAGCTTGAAGCTGACTTGAAGGGTGACTCGAGTGAAACAAAGAAAGCCAGCAAGAAAAAGGAGAAGCAAACGGCTCAAAAGGCAGTCGAGGCTTAAATATCATTTGTTCTCCAAAGAGCAATTTAAACCTCACCCGTGTCATAAACGGTACAAATATGAATGTTTGATATGGCTATTGTGCACATAATTTTATCTTTTCTTTTATATTTGTTGAGCAATAGCTTGAGATTTGGTGATTCTCTTGGTATGGTGATGATCAAAGTCTTGGCTTCCATTGCATAAAAAAAAGGCGTAGCAGTTGGGTAGTAATACATTTTGATTTGATTCCGGTGGCGATGATTCGTATAGTGACATAAATTTTAATTTGTTAAAATTTTGTCCCTAATAGTTAAGAGTTTTTGCAATTCAGTCCTAATGGTTTCTCAGTATTTCATTATCCTCACAAATAATATTCAATGCTAAGCTAGAAAAAAACTTGTTTACAAATTAGTTTACTGAGTTTTTTTTTTTTTTTTTTTTTTTTTTTTTTTTTTTTTTTTTTTTTTTGTTAATCAGGGTTAGTTTTGGAAAAGGAAAATGGTATAGTTACTTATTGAATTTTGAGTTTACATTAAAATAAAATAATTAAATTTAATTGATGTAAAAGTACGAGAAAGATAAAATAAATTGATAGTTAGTTAAAATTATGTGAGAAGATAAATAATAAAATAAAATTAATATAATGTGTAAGAATGATTGATTTGTATTATTTAATTATATGAATAATATTAAGGATACTGATGTTGAGTAATTTTTTTAGTATAAATTAACAGTGAATGAATTATTTTGTAAACGAAAACGAAATTCAGAATTCCACCCCAACATATATATATATCATGCATGTATCAAATGGTTTAAAGTTTGTACAAGAAACGTTGGTATACTATTAAATCTACAGTCCTACACTATACGATGTTCCATCACTAAAATACATATATATCAAAATTCCGAATTCACCAGCTACTCGTGGGCAAAATCACAACTCACTGGACTCTCCAACATCTTCTACAGACCACCCAATCTCCACAGGTCGAAAGAACTTGTAAAACACGATAAATTTCATACTGAATTTCCTCCTCAAACATTCCTAAGGTTAACAGACCTCGTAGCTTTTGAAGCAAGCGCTAATGCTTTCGCTCTTGCATCTGTTCTTACCCATTCCCTCTCTGCACGCCTTTGATGTTGCCTCGCGTTCTTTGCTCTCTTGGGTGCTAAACGAGTATCTCTATCTAAAAACGCTAACCTGAACTTTTCAGCCACAGATAATTCATCAGGACTTGCGGCTCGTAGATGAGCTGTCCTGGCGTTATTAAACCCAGACACTGCCCATGTTTTTGGATCAATGTCCTTAACAACCGAGTCATCCAATGCAAATTGAGAAAATGCTTCTCGAGGAACTTCGGTGCCCTTGAAACCCAATAGGGATGGCTTTGGGTTGACTACTATTCGCGGGCATTCAATGGTCAGCGTCTCCAGTGAATCCTTGTCGATATTTGGCTGACATAAGAACGAAAAATTGGCACTTTGACAAAATAGATACAAGATATTTCACTAGTTTTGCAAATTCAGTCGCAAACGAACGGAATTTTTTTCCAGTCGAAGCGAGATTTGGTTCAAACATATCTGGAAATATTAGAAAATCGAATAGGACTAATTATCTAGATTCGAATCACTAATTGCTGCAGATATGATTTGAATACTCACACATTTGTTTGAATGATATTGGAGCAGTCGAATGCAAATATTACATATTTAAAATACTTTGCAAATATATGTTCATATTTATTAGACCAGTATATATTTCTTACAGTAATCAAGTATTAGCCCATTCCTGTTCAGTTCATTCACTATTTTTTTTTTTTCCAGAAAACAGAATATTATTACTACTCAAATATACAAGCGGGTAATCAACTGATTACAAGTTCACGGGAATGACAAATCACTTGTCTCCCTCCAAAGCCACCATGGCCAAATTATTACATCTAGCACACACAGAACTAAAAGAAAAAACACAAACTGAGAACCTAGCTTTGAAAACCTGCACATCTGTTATAACATTTCTCACAGAAGAGGGAAAACTAGCATTCTTGTTCAGTTTATTTATTTTGCAAAAGATGATATAATTTGAGATTTGTTCTTCGTGTGAAAGCTTGCCTCTATGTCTATCATACTGTATAATCAATGTTCCCTCCCAAACGAAAGAAAGATCTTTTTGATGTTTGATTTTTCTATAAAAATAAATAAATAAATAAATAAAGAGTAATTCAAGATGAAATCCGGTTGTGAGCATTAAAATACACGTGAATATTCGAAAGGCATATAGTCGAATCGATTCACACTCATTTTCATATTCACATTCGATGTAAGTTCATTTGTAATCCTATTTGCAAATGAAAGAAATAAACATACCCAGACGACCCAGCGCAGAGAATGAGCACCGTGCGTGAAATCCACTTCATCGAGCTCCTCCCATGATTCACCTTCCACATCATTGAGGTCAGGCTTTAAGAGGCTCAAGCATCTGCGGGCAGTGTAGCTGCTCCTAGGGCAACCTCTGCAACATCATAGAACTTCTTAATTGCTAATCTCATCTTATTGCTTACTTAAAGTTTCTAATAACATCAATTATCTCACCCTTTGCATACTATTCAAATAGACTGCTAATTTATGTGTGTGTCGGTGTGTCTGTATGTGTGGGTGTATATTACTCTGTATTTTTTGCAGTAAATTATAAGTCAACGGACTTTTAAGTTCTTAATAAAAAATACTCTAACCAACATATAACTATTTCTATGATAACTCCAACAAAATACTGAAAACAGATTACGTTTAGGAAAAGCATGAAAATGACTATTCACTGGGGAAGAAAACTAAATTCTTACGTTTCTGCCCCAAACAAAGTTATATGACTTAGACTGTCACCCACAATAAAAGCATACAGATATTTACACACACAAAAAAAAAAAAAAGAAAAATAATAAATAAAAGATAACATATCATAACATAAATACATAATATGCGAGGAAAACAGATTTATGGGTACAAGAGTCCATGCACAGCGAACAGTCATACATCTTAAAACACTGATAATTAAGGACTAATCTATTAATTAATCTCCATTCATCCTCTGCAGAGGAAAATATGCTTAACAAACTTGAACTCTAATGTAGATCACAAAAACCAATTCCAGAGTTAGCAATTTACCATATGATTGGCTAACAAACTGAAGTATATTAACAAATCATCTCATGCAAGAGCTCTATCTTATTAGCCATTGATGACCTAAACTCTTATATCAGCTGCACATGATCCTCACTAATTACTCCCGGACATGATTTCCCATTATGCTACACATTTATCAAAACTTCAGCATGTGCAAACAGCTTGAGACGACGTGTAAGGACATGATCAAGGATAAATTTAGTTTTAAACAATTTACAGCAATTGCCTTAGCTTGTCTGAACTTCAACGTTTCTTTTGAAGCGACTCATAACTCTAACCACTTTATGCTTAAAAATACTAGTCTAATTATAAACATGCACAACACATGGAGGTATTGAGGCAATATTCAAGCAACATCTAAGACACGTTTCTTTTGCATATATTCCACATTGTATGCCGTTGCCTTTCTCTCCCTAGCAGCAACAAAAAAAAGGCATCAATCTAAAGCAACATGCAATATTGTAGCTCGCAAATTCAATGGTTTTAATGGAATATAGAGTACCCCCATCTCAATATCTCAAGTGAACGGCAGCGTTGAAGAAGCTTAGAAATCCCTGTTGACGTAAGTCTTGTGCACTGGCTGAAAAATGAAAAAGCCTCAATTAACCAAGGACTAGAAAATGTAAAACCACACATTGGTTATAACAATGCAAGAGAAAATCATTCAGTAAAAATTTGTTTGTTTCAACATGATAGCCCTAGTGACCAATGACCAACAAAGTTATCTCAACACGCTAACTAAGTAGAGGAAGAAGTTACGACTCAAAGCTACCTTATATCCACTGCTTTTAGGTTTTGGCAAATATCCACAATATGACAAAGCCCAGAATCTGAAACATCGGAACCAGATATATCTAGTATTTGGAATGAGCTATCACCCAAGGCTATGATAATGCCATCGTTCAGCAGCTTTCTTCTTCTGGCAACTGCCAGCAATACCATCTGTGAAACCATTTCAAGTAGAATAAATAATGTCAAAGCCACACAAAAAGAAAAGGGCTACAAGAACGAAAGGCGGAAAAGTAAAACTGATAACAGAACTATGAAACAAAGGTTAAAATCTAGAGTTTTTGAGTCGGTAGACGTGGCGTGTAAGTGCAACCACCCATGAACAAAATCAATATATCAGAAATAGCAAAATCGACTTTACAAGAATTCACAATTTCCACCTTAATATCCGAGGGGAAACTGTAGGAAACCTCAGCCAAATCATCTACAATGTCCTCCAGATTGCTACCCACAACCCCCAAACACAAGCTCAACAAGCAGGGCGCCGAATTTCCCCTGTTTGAGGTAAAATAATCTGCCCAAAATCAATCATTTGTCAATTCTACAACACAAAAGAACAAAGGAGGGTGGGTCTCTACATCGAGTTAGAGTTCAATTTCAACAAAATTTATTTTCTTCCAGCATCAAACGCGTACCAGATTGAAAAGCAAACCCTAATGGATTTCGGGTCGATTTTGAATTGTGAGAATTATTGTCCAATTCCAGATTGCAAAACGCAGCGGTCACCCTTTCCGTGGGGTCTTTGCCTTTGCCCTTTTCCATAAACGAAGGCGAAGCGATAACGATGGTGTTCGGCGGTAAAACCCCCGGAACCAGTCCCCGTCTGAAAATATGGTTTCCTTTGTGTTGTGCTTGGTCCGCGATTCCGGCGCCGATCAAAGATTCCGGCGTAAGAAAATTTCACTTCAATATCCAAAGTCTGGAAAATTTTTCGATTGCTGTATAGCGAAACAAAAAAAAAAAAAATAGGGGTGGGATTTTATACCCGATACCCGGACAACCGAACCTGACCGAAAATTATCTGTTTGGTTCGGTTATTTAAAAAAAAAAAAAGAAAAATTCGGTTTCGGTTATTTTTTGCACAAACCGATTTCGGTTACTGGTTCCATTCCAAATGTTAGTATATTAACCGAAAAATTGACTTCGGTTCCTATGAATATATGTAATAACCGAACCAATTATTTTGGTTCCGTTCCAATTCCTAAAAAATTGTTCGGAACCGGACCGGTCCCAGGTCTAAAAAAAAACATCTTCGTCTACAGTGTTTTGTTATAGAGCAATTGGATGACTCGAGTCATTCACAGTTATTAACAAATAGTGTATTGACACGTGTTCTACAGTAAATATCTTTTAAACATGTGTCAATACATTAAGTGATTAATGACACTATAAGAAAACATACGATGGTTCTATCGAATTTTTGTCCTCGTCTATACACGTTTATTAGAGATGTCATAATGGGCTTGGTCCACTAGGTATACCAAACCTTCTCTTGAAATATTCCACTATATGTGCAGCATATAGCAATTTTTGCAATTTACACACTTTCTGACTTGATAGACAGAGTATGGAAACTCCTGATGCTTTTGCAGGTATTCTAATGTTGGTTCGTATGTCTGTGGTCCGATACAGGCCTCTCGGGTTTTATGAAACCGTCGTGTACCTTTTACGAACCTATGTATCTTTACCTAATTACTACTCCTAACACATTACATTACACGATATTATGTACACAACGTGCGAGTTTTAGTATCAGCTCGATTTCATTTCAGTATCACCACTCTCTTGATAATCGACATCGGATATCTCCTGTGGTAGGAGGCCGAGCAAAGGCAAAGGCAACAATGAGCTGAGATTGCAAACAACAATCAGAGAAATCAAATTGCCGAATTCGTCCTTGGTGACGCCAAACAGCTGAGTCAATCCTGCCCCGATTAAACCGCCAAGAACACTGCCACCATTTGATATGGACATGAGGGTCGCGAAAAGAGTAGCCTCCATGCCCTCCGGGCATACTTTTGCAGCTAATACAAGGACAGGCATGAATGATAACTGAAAACGAAAAATGTCGTCAACTTTGCAAGTTTAAGCAAAACACATATATTGACCTGATTTAACCACTAATTCCTTCACAAGAAAAAAAAAAAAAAATAAAAAAATAAAAAAATCGATCTATTCAAAGGGAACACAGAGGAGTACCTGACCAAGAACTGTTATTACCAATGAGTCGCCAATCGCAAACCACTCGTCACTTATGCCAAGCTGCCGGTTCAATCCAGTGACAAGTAAAACCTACATAAGGCACATAATTTTAGATACTAGAAGGTGAAAATGTTCCGGAATGATCTAGTATTTGAAGGAGGCAAGGCAAGAATGCCAACTTGGGTCATTCCTAGAGCTGAACCGATAATGGTAGTCACGAGAAATATCTTCCGCAAAGGGACAGTTTTTAAGAAGCCATTGTAAAGCCCAACCCCGGCTAATGATGCAACAGAAGTGATGAGACTCACGCGTCCCAGAAATTCGGGAGTGAAACCGAGTTCGTTCGTGCTGTAAACACAAAGTCCTCGTTAGCAGTCATCTCAACATAAAACAATATTCGCAGTTATAATCATGGCTTAATTACAAAAATTAAGCCTTAAATAACATCAGATACTCACAAAATGCACGTACGTGAAATAAAACATGGCGGAGTCGGACTGTGGTGTTGCTTGCCATAAGAAAATAAATAAGGTCGGGAGGAATACATGAGGCTTCTTTACGGCTTCCCATAATTGCGTAATGCTCTTTTTTGAGCTTCCGAAAAATTCAGCAGTGCCCGAGAAAAGATTGTGTGTACTTGCCGGGCTAAATACTGGCTGCTCTTTCACAAGCACAGCAACTCCAGATGTTATCAGCGGCAGCAAAGCTGTTAATCCAAATACAAACCTGCAGATGTTCGACAATTCATAACAACTTTTCACATTCAACCAAATAATCATAAGAGTAACATGAAAGGGTTGATTACAAAACATACCCTTGATTCGCATATACATAATTAATCACTTAGTTGGATTTCTGTATGATTAGTTTAAACCTCATGGGTACTTTCTACAATTATTGCTATCGAAAAAAAAAAAAATGCATTGAGAGTATCGACCGAGTGGCACACCTCACACCATAAGCACCCACTAAGGAGCCACTAAAGTAGGAACTTATAATGCCCCCAAAAGCCGACGAACCCCAGCATAGAGACTGGAGTGATCCGGACATGCTTTGTGATTCTCCACGAGCCCTCTCTACAACCATAGAGTCCACAACCTGCATTACACCTTCTCTTGACGAGTTAGCGGGGCGAAAAATTATATGACAAACAATGACTAGCTACCAATTATATTGTCTCAAGAAAATAACAAATTATGAATTTTAATAACTGGACCCAGAATGATTGTGGCAACCCAAGTTGAACAGGCGATACTTGACTACCATGTACATCTTCATATGCTCCACACTACTCATACAACATTGTATTACAACAACAAATATGTCCGTGTCTAGATTTTCTCATATGTGACTAATTCTTGGTGATTTTACAGTTAGATCAATGTATCCCCAAGCATGCTAGCATATAAAAGACAAAAATGCAAAGAAACGGATGAAAAATGTAGTAAGTGCCAAGAATGTTTCCAAACTAGCAATCACGAGAGATCACGCCCATTTAATAAGTTGAAGGGCGAGGACACTCAACAGGCCCTTTTCGTAGAGCACATGTATCTTAAAAGGAAAAGAATTAAACTTCACACTAACTCGAAAAAATAGTGACTACAGAAAATCCACATACAACTTCCCATAATCTTCAATATGACTTCAAACAGGTTGATGTCAAAAAACCTACTACTAAAAAAAATAAAACAAATTGCCTTTGAAACATCGTAAACATACTCATATCCCAAAATATTAATTTGTTATTTTTTGAAACACCTTAGATATTATAGAATGCATAAAGCATGATCCCACTACAACACCATAAATTAAAATAATACTGACTTACAACATCTGAAAATGCTACAGAAAGGGATCCAAGAAGTATGCAGAACATAACACCATACTTGCTATCAACAAAGGTAGCCATCAAACTCCATGAGAGAGCTCCTAGAAGTCCCGATATAACCAAATACGAACTTCTTCGGTAGCCAAACAGTGGGAAGGAGTCGCTGTGAAAACATTCATAGCCAAATTTAAGATAGTGTTCACAGTGAAAAGAAAGAGCGGCATAGACAATTAGGCTAAGATGCTTTCATTCCCACCTGATAAATCCATACAGGGGCTTGACGAGCCAAGGAAGAGATGAAACACCAGATATGACAGCTGTCTAGTCAACCATATAGAAATGCAAGTAGTTAGCATATTTTCTAGAAGAACATGTAAAGGATATATAACTTCTTATAGAAATATACAATGAAACTTGATGATCATATATAAGTAAAAATCACAAATTTGTACAAACAAAGAAGCGACTAGAGAAAGAAATATAGTCCAAGAGTGCATTTATAGATACTAAAAATTCCTATTAACAGTTTAGTTATTCATTCCCAGAGTTCATAATGAACAAATAGTTGGCTCAAAATATGAATTTCGTGGAGAAGTACGGTCCAATTTCAGACACAATATCACTCATTATTTTATTTTTAATTTTTTTTTTTTTTTGTGACAAAAATTTTATCATTGTCACTGATTATTTATTTATGATCCAGTATGTCTTCGTTTAGATTAATAGAACGTCTAGTCGTCCCTTGTGCCGAACTACACAAATATGGATACCTCTGCAGGGTCCAAATGCAGGTCATCTTTCAGGTAGAAATTGACTGCAAGCCTGGAGAGACCTAAAACACCTTGCACAAAATATACCATAGCAACCGCAATATTATCAGCGGTTAAGTCAACTCCAAACAATTTCAGTGAGTTGCTTAAATATTTCTCATCGCTCGTGGAAGCTTTATCAGATGAAGCAATATCGATATCCACAGTGTTCGTAGTTACATACCCTTCTCCTGCAGATCAAATGAAATAATAGAAGTTTTATACATCCAAGAACAGAAACAAAAGAAAAAAACATTACATGTGATAGAATATCGTTACAACTCTAGGAAACAAACTAATGTATACATTGTTGTGTTCCCTATATAAAAGCTAGTAAAAGGAATATTTTGCTTGTAACAAGAATCACAAATGACAAACCAATTTTCTCACAAACATATATAGCAAATAATGGCACATTGTCATCTGCAAAAGCTAAAGGAGAACTTAGAAACCATAGAGAAACTCCTTTTACTCTGTACAACTAAACCTAATGGTTTGAAAACCAAATTCTTTTAACAGATATGCACACTTATAAATTGAAATGGCATACTAAACAGAACAACATAAATAAAAGTATGAGATTTCATAGGAAAAAAATGACGGTCCGACACGGTTATGCCGCTTCATAAAGAATTTTTCGCTCTCCATACACACCAAATGATTTTCTTAAACAGACTATGCCGTACCAAATGATCACCTCCCATGGTTTAGGAAAAGAACATGTTAAGATAATTGTGCATTGATCATTTTTTCATTTTGTTTTTCTCACAGAGCCCACCCACTATTTTACTCCACTACATGATAAAAGATTTCATCTTTGACAATCATCACAAAAATTCGATCTTTTTATCAACCAAAAAAAAAAATAAAAAATCAACATCAGCAAGGACATACTTAAGTAAACAACCAACATGACTTACGATATGTGGAATCCAACACGGGCTCGAAATCGGAGTCTCGGCGGAGGGAGGCGGACGGAGTGGGCTCTGAGCCAGGCCTGTCGAACTCCGGCGCACGCGGCTGTTTCCAGCGCGGCGGCCGAAAGCGGACGGAGTAGGAGGTTAAGGGAAGTTTCCGGCGTATATGGCGGAGATAAGGAGATATGGGTAGAAAGGAGAAGGACGAATTTGTGGAGGATAATGTTGGTAAAGAAGTTGGCGATGGCGTCGTCGTCGCCATTAGTGAAACCGAGGCTGAGCTCCACAAGTTCGTGAACCTCTGCGTTTGTTATGAGAGTTTTATCTGATCCAATTTTAGAATAATGAACTTGTCAAATGACTAAATTGACCTCTGGACTGGATGCAAGATAAATAGCAAGGATAATAAATGTCATGGACTAGGTCAATGAAATTGGTTGAACCGTATTTAATTTTTAACATATTTAAATCTATATATATTTAAATCTATATATATATCTTCGATTTGACATCCATATTATATATGTAAAATAAATAAATTATATTTATCGTTATAATAACAAAAAATAATAACATTTATTTCTCAGTTGATATATTTATGTTTAATGTAGTTATATGTAGTAAGTTAAAAAAATTATTATAAAATAACATAAGTAAGTCACACAAATAAAAAATGTCATACTAAATATATAATAATATATATTTTAATAAAAGGTATTTAAATTTTCAACTACTTTTTTCTCATTAATTTTAGATTTTAAGGAAAAAATTACCAAGTACCCGTGTAATACACCGTTGTACTAGTACACACATAAAGTACAATATGTAATAAATTTTATACATATAAAATTATTAATTAAATATTTAGGCAATTTGAAACATTGCTCAAAATGATTATACTTAAATATCCATTACATATGTATATACATATAATATTTATTTTAAGAAATTAGGCCGGGTTCAGCCGATCATTGACCAATCTTTAATTGATCCATTGGTGATCAGTTCTTTCCAATGAATCAAACTAGTCAACAAATTGGTTCCCAGTACATCTGATCGTCCAGCCAGTCTAATCCAATTTTTAAAAGAGAAAAATTAGTTGGTCATATGTTATCCAATTCACGTTGAATGGTTATTTTTCGACTCAAGATATTTGATTAGATTTTTAGGAAAAAAAAATATTATTCTTCGAATCTCATGCTTATCTTGGTGTCAATGCCAAGTCATGGTCCATAAAATTAATTTATAGTAAACGAATCTTAATATATATATATATATATATATATATATATTATTTTCAAATTTTTTTTCTTTTGGTAGCCAGCCACGGTATTTGGAGCTATGCTCCGACTAATCTGTTGGTTGACTCGGGTCGCACACCTGGCAGTGGTGGGTGAGTCTTCCAACAAGAGTTTTCAAATTTTTAATAAAAATTTTAGTTGATGGTAGTTAGAACAATAATTTATGATAAATCATTATCCTTTATCTAAATAATTTTTGAACTTCAATTTCTAGAACTTGTTATTCACTACAACAAAATCCAACTACGTACTTACACAGCACAAGCATAATTGCAAGGTCACCTAAATGGCTAAATCTTGACATTCACAAAGTTAGTTAAGTTAGTTGAGCCACAAAAACAATCAAAACTTCAAGCCTCTATCCTTTATAATCAATCCTTCATTTTCTAGTCCTCTCACATATCCTCCAAAACCTCACAAAAAATTAATAATAATAATAAAAAAAAGACTTCAAATGGGAAAAAACTCAAGAAATTTTTCATCCTCACCATTCATTACACCATCTCTAGTTGCAACGTTGGTTATGATAATAGTCATGGTTGCCCGCCCGGCAATCGGCCAGTCGAGCTCCGGGTGCACCGGGCCCATGATCAGTAACTTCGGTCCGTGCGTAGGTTTCCTTACAAGCGGCTCGAATTTATCGAGACCGAGTCCTGAATGCTGCAACTCACTCAGAGACCTCATGAGCAACGGACAAGATTGTTTGTGCCTTATTGTAACGGGAGGCGTCCCTTTTCAAGTCCCCCTTAACCGGAACTTAGCAATCTCCCTTCCGAGGGCTTGTAGAATGTCCGGTGTGCCCATTGAGTGCAAAGGTAACATTTTCTTGATTAATCGAATCTTGAATATTGTTTTTTTCGGGAAAATTATCGCACGACATTGCTAGTCGTGCGTTAACTTGTTGTTGTTGTTGTTTTTTTTTTTTATTTTATTAATTTGAGTTTGTTTCATGAACTGTGAACCCAATACAGCGACTGCCAGCCCTGTTCCGACTCCAGGTACATTTACAAGCTTCGAACATATCGACATTTTTTTCGACAAAATTCTTTAGCTTCTATAGATCGATAAGTTAGTTACGTACAAACCTTGGATCGATTTCTAATGTTTTTCGTGGATTTGATGGATACAGGAACCCCCGGCGAAGGTGGACCAAATACAATTCCCGGGCTATCACCACCAAGTCCCACAGGTATACAAATTTTTTCGAGTAAAAATTTGTAGCTCTATAAATTGTAATTTCGGCTCTCTAATTACAACACGATTTTTCGGAAAATCGATTTTCTAATAGTGAATTCAGCTTAACATTTGACATTAACTTGAGAAACATAACATATAACTTTTGTTTTTCCTTTTGAAAAAAAAAAAAAAAATGCAGGTACATTTAATCCACAGCCCTTAACGCCACCATCGTTAGTGCCGGGAGGTGGCGACGTAATTCCGACCCTAACGCCGCCAGGAATGCGGCCGACTTTGACCCCATCGACTGCACGTTCGTCTCACGATAAGACTTTGGCATCTTCTCTTATGGCACTACTGTTGGGAATCATTCTCCTCATCACATGATTTATGCATAAACACACTTGTATTTTATAGGTTTTATGTCATGTTTTGTATAAAATATTCTTTGAGATTGGGTGGATTAATTTTGTTAGGTGTGTGTTTGATATATAATTGAGTGGCATTACTCTACAAGGATGTGTTGTTAAAAGATCATGAATTTGCCTTTGGACCTTAGTAGAATTAAAAAGTAAGAGTTTTCAACTAATTAAGCGGGAAATGCTACGGTCTCATTACGCAACCATTCCGTCAGGATTTATAACTGTTAGATCAACTATATTTGACGGTTACATGATGATCTAACAGTTACAAACCTCGGCGGAATGGTTCCGTAACGGGACCGTAGCATTTCTCCTAATTAAGCACAATGATCATCATATGAGAGTGATTAAAGTTACTAAATTAGATAGGTGACCTACTTCAACAACAACAACTTCATGAATTTGACTTTGGTGGACCTTAGTAGGATTAAAAAGAAAAAATAAAATAAAATCCAAATTCATTGCAAGTCATGAGGGAAGAGATAATGAGCCTAGTAGGTCAAAAGCATGCCAAAAACCACCCTAAAATACACACACACACACACACACACACAACAAATGCCATATACTTACATATGTTTATAAACTCCAAACTTAACCTTCCCATTATTCACATTACATCACCTCCAAAAACTTATTTCCAAAGAAAAACAAAATTAAATGGCTATACAAGGTTTACGGCCGTCGATTTCAACCGTAGTTGTTCTCATTCTCGTGTCCACGTCACCAATGTTGTTAACCGTAAATTCCCAAGTCTTAGGATGTTCCCTTGTGGGCATCGACTTTCAAAATTGCTTGGCCTCGAGTACTCAAAGAACTCCATTTGCAATCAGCTCTTGTTGCACGACTCTTAACAAAGTGCTCGAGGCAGGGTATTATTGTCTTTGCACATTACTTGGCCCTTCCTCTCCCGTGTTTAGCGTTGAGCTTCAGTTGTCCTTCTCGAATTGCGACATTGCTATGCCGCCTTCGACTCATTGCCATGGTAAGACAAACCGAGCATTTCGCCGAATCCCTTTTCAGCCACTCTTTTTTCAAAACAAAAAAATGACATTTTGTAAATGAAAACAGAACTAATCAAGAAAAGGGAATGTAAGCTAATATCCCACCTCAAGTGCATATATATGCAACTAAGAGAGAGAATTGTTTTAATTTAATTCAGAAATGTGATTTATAGACTATACAGTATATGTTTACCGTTTTATTTCATTTGAACGTTACTCAGTTCATTTGAATTGTTTCAGATCCAAAACGGGCGGCAATGGCACTACCCCCAGCCAATCCGATTTTTCCGGCGCTCAATCCGCTGGAATCAGCAAGGGACGATCAAGAGTTTGTGCCTTTGCCGCCGGAAGTTAGTGAGAATTTGAATTCCACAGTTGTTGACGATGGTCCGGTTCTCAACAGCAGCCCATCGCCAATGATCGGAATCCCTGAACGTTGGGATCACGTAAAATCGGACGCAAAAAATCGGGCGAATTCGAAAAACATGATTGTTTTACTAATTAGTTTGTGGTTGCTCATTGCATGAGGAATTTGAGTTGGCCTTGATTTGGGTATTTCTTAGTGCATTTAACTTCCTAATGAAAGATAAGTTTGGTACATGTTTGAGGTTGTTTTGATTCCTAGGCTAGATAAGTCAAAGCTCAAACGAGGTTAAGTTTGACCTGGTCGTAAATAAGTGAATAGACCGCAGCGAGTCATTTGATGTATTTATTTATCGGAGCTCGAACTCGAGCCGAGCTTTTGAATTTACCAAATGTAATTGAGGTTCAAACTTATTTGCAAAATTTGATGAACCGAATTGAAAAAAGGGGTTTTAGCCAAAAAAAAAAAAAAAAAAAATGGAATTCTTCAGCCTATAAGCTATTACTAGTGCATAGCCCGTGCGATGCACGTGATACATATAATAAATTAATCATTTCCATAGGACTTGTACGTTTAGACAAAAAAACAATAGGTTTGGAACATCTATATATTTCACATCTTTTAATAAGTGACGTTTATTTTAGCCAAAAAAATAATATGTTAGTTATTATATTATTTCGCTAATATGTCAACTAATATTAATCTGATTTTAGAATACATATTTATTCATTGATATATAAAAAAAAAATATTTATTCTTGTTCACCATATAATACTCAATTATTATTTTATTATAACATTTATAGTCATATAATGTTATTATTATTATTTATAAAAGTTATAGAAGTAGTCTTCTTTATGTAATGAAATTCAAAATAAAATTTTGTGTATAAATATTTACAAAATACAGACACGTGTTTTTTAGAATTCAATTTTTTCATAATAATTTAAAAAAAAAAAATGACTTAGCAATTGCCAAAAAATAATCCCTTACATAATCAAGATATTCTTTTTAATTTTCATCCAAAGGCTTTATAGTTTATTTAACATACTATGCAATAGAAAAATATTTTACAATAAGTTCATTATAGAGACACAATAAATAACACGTCTGATTTTAAAGAATAACTAATATATTTCAATTTTATTATTTAGCCATCAATAAAATCATTTAATTATGTGATCATTATCTTTTAAATGGTAAATAATATTAATTTTAAAAAAATATTAGTTTTTTATAATTAAATAAAGGTTAAAAAATTATAGATAAATATTAATTATAATGGATACCAATATAATTATTGCATAAATTAATAAAATTATTTAAGGAAAGAATCTTTAAGATCATATTTGGATAAGAAATTTATATATGCAAGCATTTAATACATATAGTAAAAAAATTTAAATAAGGTATGCATTAAATGTGTAGCATTTAATACATATAGTAAAAAAATTCTATATAAAGTATGCATTAAATGTGTGTTGACTTTTCTTGCTACTATTTTTAGTAAATAGGTTGGCTTTTAATATATATATAGATATAGATTGTCTTTTTTGGTATGGTAATAGTGTCATTCTCATTTTAGAATAGGCAGAACATTTAGGGGTGTAATTTTTTTTTTTTTTTTTTATATAAATATTTTGAGATTTTTTAATACTCTATATATTTAACTAAAACTTTTTAAAACTTTTAAAAACCGTGTGATAATCATTCGGGATTTTAAATAGATGTATTTAATTTCTTTAACACTGAGATTGTTAATATTTTTTAAGATTTACTCATATTTCATACGCAAATTACATATCCAAATCCGGCCTTTGGACATAAAATTTCTAAAGGATTAATCAAAATGATTAAGTGCGTGATTGTATATATTTTCTACAGTAAATATTTCACCCAAAATTTAAATTTAACTCAATTTTAACTCAACTTCATTATCTCTAATATTATCAATATAATTAAATAATATCAACCAATCATTATTACACATTACATCAATTTTAATTCACTACTCATCTACTCACATAATTTTAACTAATCATCACTTCCAATCATTTTCTCCTACTTTTACATCAAATCAACTTTAATTATTTAATTTAAATATTATTTTAATATATCCACTAACAACTAACCATACTACTTTTTTTCAAACTTAACTATAGTTAAAAAATACTAGTTTTGTAATTAGTTAAATTCATATCCAATCACCCCCTATCTAGATAACAACAACCAAGTGGACGTGCCGGAGTGGTTATCGGGCATGACTAGAAATCATGTGGGCTTTGCCCGCGCAGGTTCGAATCCTGCCGTCCACGTTATTTTTTTTTTTTTTTGGGTTGTTGTTTGCCAGAAAAGTGAAAACAGTACACCGTTCATTAGAATGCTTTATTATGAAAATTTTGTAATTTTAGAATGCTTTATTAATTTCTCTGTGAAAACACTAATCTTACACCGTTCATTAGAATGCTTTATTAATTTCTCTCTTTATCTACTTTTCATTATATAAGATAAACTAATCTTACACATTTTGTTCATCATACTCCACTATTTAGTAATTATAGATAGATTACCAATATTATTTTAAGAAACATATAATACTAATGTTTCCTTCCTTAATTTATCAATAACTTTTTGTAGTTTTATCGAAGTAATACATACCTATTATCAGCTTGTGAAGACTGTGAACTTCACTATATATCAACCTCTACGTAGATGAGAGAAAGAGGCGTACGAAATATTGGATATGTATTTTTATTATAAAATAGCTCAAACATATATAATATAAAATTAATATTGATACTCTTTCGATGAACGGATGCAATACAAAAAATAGTTTTTACAAAATAAACAAACATGTTATTTGAGAATTTAATTTTAATTATATAATCAAGATTTTTCTAATTTTTTTTTTTTTTTTTTTTTTTTTGCCGGAACGATAGGGGATCTATTAAATACCAAACGCACAAATGTGCAAATAAAAATACAAAGCTTCCAACGGGAGAAGAAAGAACAGCCAAAAGCTGAATAAAATGGGAGGACAGGTCTGACGACCGCCTAGAAACCCGATACTAGCAACGCTAGAAACTTAAAAACTCGACTCACTAGACAACTAACAAAACAAAACACAACAAAAAACTACGAAGCTCCCAACAGGAGAATAGAGACAGGAGATGCTCCCCACAAGAGAATAAAGGTGCTCCTGCTCTGACACACAGGGGCCAACGGCCCAAACCTAAAACACACCAACAAAACACACCTAGAAAGAAAAACAGCTCAGGAAACACAGTCTCCCTCAGCAGAGATGTCTGAGATCGACAGCAAACAAGACCAAATACTTCAAGGAGAGATCCAAAACACACGACCGATGCCCGCCACTGCTTAAGGCCTAGCAAAGACGAAGGCCCAGGCTCTGAATCGACCTCTAAAATCGGCCTGCACTATTGCCACAAGAAACCACAACCGCTCCCCAATCGGCTAACACCACTAGCCAGATCCATAACCGACCCGGAACTGTCTAACACCACTAGTCAATTCCAAGACAGTCGGCCCTCCACAGTCTCAGAACTAGAGAACCGGGAAGGAAGGGACGCGAATGGCTACCTTGCCCGACCGCTCGGGCCCTACCCGAACCAACCTCGACCTCACAACCCAACTTCTAGAGCCGCATCCCAGTCCAAGATCCCAACAGCACCAAGATGTCGGCCGGAGGTCAGTAGACAACCCCGACACGAAACCCCAGGACAGGTCGACCGCAGAAACGGGCGAGAGAAATCGATCTGGCAGGAAGACGACATGAGCGACACAAGCATCCTCCACCCACTGGCGATGCACTCCTCCTAGCCCAAGCACCACAGACCTCCGGCGAACCTCGAGCAGAAACCGCGAATCTGCCGAAGCCCTAACCCTCACCCCGAGTCTATAGACGAAGGAAGCGAGCACCGCAACCAAGCGAAAAGGAAGAGCAGCGAAGTGCCATCCTTCGTCGAGCCCGGACGACGGCTGAGGGAGGCTCCAAAACGGCGATTAAGAAGAAGGAGTAGGGGAGACGATTTTTCTAATTTTGCATTATAAGAATTTATATTTAGCATAATATGCAATAAAATATATGTTACAAGAATTTCATTATAGAAAGATTCAAAATATAAAAAAATAGTAAACAAATAATCATGGTTGCCAATATATACAAATAAATTCTAAAGAACAACTAATATATTTTAATTTTAATGTTTGACCATTAGTAAAATAATTTAATGTATTTTGTCATTACCTATTAAATGGTAAATTATATTAATTTAAAAAATAATTACTTTTATATATTTTCTCTCTAGTGGCTCAACAAATTTTCTTCTTTTTAATAACATTGGTTTTTGTAAAAGACCTAGGAAATAAAGCTTAAAAAATTATATTGGCAAATATTATAATATTCACCAACTTGATTTCACCAACTTAATTGAGAAAAAAAAAATATTTAAGTAACATGTTAGGATTTTTTATATATATTTTCTGATAAAAAGTGAATATTTGTAAAAAAAATTATAGTTTGGTTAGAACTTAAAATATGTAGCAATATTTATCTTGACCAAAATATTATCAACATGAATCACATAAAATCAATTTTGTAATTTGTTATAATGGATATAAATGAAATTATTGCATATATTAATAAAATTATTTAAAAAAACAATATTTTTGATTATATCTGATTTGATCTTATTTGAAAACGTGTATATGAAATGCAATTAATGCGTAAATTCAAATAGTTTCTAAAAATAGGTAAGCATTAAATGCTTCCAAAATTTTTGGCTACTATTTTTAGTAAATGGTTATTTTTATTATATATAGATAGATAATTTGCCAACGGAAAAGATAGTAAGAAACAACGATTCTTTACCACATCGATAGAGGACGGTTGGGTCGGATCCAAATGGCTGGGCTGTTTGGGGGTCCGCCCGTTCCAAGCGGGGAGTTGGGCCGTGAAGCTCAGGCGAAGGTTTGGGCTTCGTGGTCCGTAGAGTGGAGGGCACCGCGTCAGGCTGGCTTCATTGAGCAGCGACTACCTCCCGCTTCTCGCAGTGGGAGGATAACGGGGCCGGTGCTACCTCCGCCTAATTAAAAAGCCAGATGAGCTGACCCCAATTGGACAACCACTTTTTTGTACATATTTATTTTCAAATTTAGCTTTCTTCTTTTCAAATTTACCACTTCAACAAATGAATCTTTATCTTCAATAGCTAGTGTATGCAGTATTTGCCACATTTAGGTTTTGACACAAAAAGTACATGAAAAATGTGTGATCATCATCAATATACACGATTAGTACTATAGTCTAAATCAAAATCTCATAAAATAAAGTTCTTTTCCTAAAGCAAAAGGCCTTACAAATTGGGAACTAAAACAAAGATGAAACCAAACAACAATGCACTCCAATCACATAGATTCAGGATGCATCCTGCCAACTCTCAGACTTCAAAACATTATTACAATCCATATCATTAAGAATGACTCAACCGGTCAACCCTTCTTTAGCCCGGTTCATCACTTTTTCGACCCGTTCCTTCTCCTCATGCAAACCCTTCTTATCGAGCGCTTTAACCAAAATCTCATACGTACAATCCATCGGTACAAAACCCTTATCCACCATCTCCTCAAAAAACGAGCACGCCTTACCCACATTCCCACTCCCACACAGTCGACTGACCAAAAGCGAATAAGTCCCCATATCAAGGCTCACGTCGTTTTTAAACATGTGACTCAACAGAAACGAGAGCACCTTCATTCTCCCCAACCTGCAGCACATTTTCAGTAAGGGTGCGTACGTATCTATATTTGGCCTGCATTTATTTTCCTCCATTTTCTTAAGCAAATTAAGCGCCTTCTCCTCTTGAGACCCATTAGAGGCAATCATAATAAGCATATTGTAAGTCCACACATCGGGAACCACCCCTTGCTTGGACATGTCATCAAAAACCTCGTCAGCATCTTTAACCCTGCCTGCTCGACTCAAAGCATTAATGAAGGCGGTGTAGAACGGGGCATCGGGCGGGCAATTGTTAGTCTTCATCAATTCATAAATCTCCATGGCTTTATTTATTTCCTTTGCTTTTCCATAGGCCTTCATCATGATGGTGTAGGTCACCACATTCGGATTAATACCATCTCTCTCCATTTCCACTAAAGTGGAATCGACTTTACGAAAATCCTTTTCGCGACAGTAGCTCTCGATGAAGCTAGTGTAGGTAACCGAGTCAGGGCGGAAGCCGTGGGCCCGCATCTCGTCCACGGTTTTTCTAGCCGTCTCGATTTGCCTGATTCTGCACCAACCGTGGACCAGCATATTGTAAGTATGTTGAGTAGGAGGAATATTATCTTTAAATTTGAAATAAACTCCCTCGGCATGCTCAACGCTGCCTTGCTTTACTAACGTGTCGATTAATCTATTTAAGGTCGTTATATCCTTTTCAATTCCAAATAATTCCATATTTTCAAATGCCTCGATTGCGTTCTCGTACTTGCCGCCCCTTGCAAGACGCCTCATGATTATCGTCATCGTGTCCAAAGTGAAGTACCCTTCTAGCATTTTCATTTCCTCCGCCAATTCCCACATCTTCTCAAATTTCTTTGCTTTCCCCAAATTGTCGATCAATAGGTTGTAAATTCCAGGCGAGTGTTTAAACCCGTTTCGCGACTCGGCCCACTTGAAGAAACCAAGGCAAGGGACCCACTCATGGCTAAATCTACAGAGTATTTGCTCAACCAGGTCCTCGGACAAATCAACATCACAACCCTCTAATGCTTTAATAACTAAATCGGGGGATTTGAACTGGCAGCTCCTTAGGATGCTACTAATCATGTCTACGTCACTCTCGGTGATGTCATTCACAATAATTTTCATATCATCTTCTTTAACGACAGACTTGTGGTCTTCAATCCAGTACGATAATGACGGAGGAACAAAGTCGTCATTTTCCGGCTTGTTATCCATTTTGGACTTGACAGGATTCTTAACCCAACCAGGAAGCTCGGGTGACTCCACCGTGGTCGGCTTGTCTTCAGTCATAAGTGGCTCGGCAGTAGAGAAAAATGCATTGTGCAATGGAATTATAACTCTAGAGTAGTCATAAAGGAAATGATCTTGTTTGTAACGATTCAGACACGATCGAGCCTGGAATCGCGACAGAGGATACAAATGCTTCAATTTCGAAAGCATTCTTGGGTTACCTGATAAGACAGAACGCTAAATAAACTCTAGCGATCAATCAGAAAACAAAAATTCAGTTAGTACAATAGTGCAAATTAAAGGCATTTCAATTCTTGCAATGAATTTAACGTAAAAATACGCTCGAGTGTTCTGAAAAATAAAAAGAGGAAAAATTGACAAGGGTAAAACTTAAAAAAAACTATGAAACGCATAAAATGTCGAATGGGCATTTCTTCGAACAGATGGCGTGCATACATAACAAATTACACCAACTCAGAACTACAATAGCAAATAAACTGAAAAGAGGGCAAACTCCAATTTCGTCATTCAATTTATACAGATTAACATCCAAGAATGATAAGCACCAGTATTGGGCACATCATAAGGACCATGCCATATAGATACATTACAGTTATGGAATTTGCAGAACTCACCAAATTAGTGAAGAACTCACAAAATGGGTGCAGGCATGAAGGAACCCAAAAGCACAAGAAAAGACCAACAAACTTACAGTGATTGTTACAAACTTACATGAACCTCTGTCTATCTGACTGTGAGTTAATATGGAACTATAATGAGTTATTTACTTCACCATATATATATCAACCTTCTACCTGAGATATAATATTGTAGATATATTGATTTATATATATATATATATAATAGTTTTTAAACCCGGCCGGGTAATCAACCCGAGCAGGTATCCGGGTCACCAGTTCAACCGCCGGGTGACCGTGTCAATTGTTGAACCAGATAATTAATTTTAAAATTTTTTAAAATTATATATAGAGTATTTTGTCATATAAATATACATAAAAGTAACAAAATTAAATGTTTTATATGTAAAATTTGTAGATTAAAGTGGTAATAATGATTATTTCATGATAAATATTTACCATATAAATATATATATAGATATATTCATACATAGTTTTATTTTTTAAAAACAGAAAAAATAATAAAAAACATATATATAGGGACCGGGTCGTGTCAATGCTCCGGGTCGACCGGGTCAAGGCCAGGTTGGCCGGGTTTTGATCGGGTTTGACCGATTCCTTTGTTGCCCGGTCCAAATTGTCCACCTAAGTCGGTTCTGGCTCCGGGTGGATCGGGTCTCGGGTCGATCCACAGGGCCAGTCCGGGTTGAAAAACACTGGATTTTATTTAAAATTGGAGTGATTGTATATATATTTTTGTATTTGCATAGAACACTTCCAATCCAAAATTCATATTCATCTTTGGGGAAAAAGATCAGAAATTTTATGGCACCATATTATGGTGTCACAACATGATGTGGCACATTATGATTGGTGTTCCACATCATGTTGTGGCACCATAATATGGTGCTACATGTGGTGCCGTAGAATTTATGGGAAAAAGATACCAATGAGATCCATTCTCCCACACAGAAAGAGGATAATGCTAATAAAGTCCTTATGAAGTGACGGAAACGCAGCAGCTTTCGCCGAGCTCAGTAGCGTGGGCTTGTAACCCAAGTGGGGGCGTTAAAGCGGTTGGACGATTGGGTTAGGTCCAAAAAGCTGGGCTGTTGGGGGTAAAATACTGGCCCGCCCATATAAGTCGGGAGTTTGGCCACGAAGACCAATCGAAAGTTTTGTGTTTCGTGGTCCGGATAGGAGGGCACCGCTGGGCCATGAAGTCCATTCGAAAGTTTGGGCTTCGGTCCATAGAGAGTGGAGGACACCGTGTCAGGCTGGCTTGACAGAGTAGCGACTACTTCCCGCTTCCGGCAGTGGGAGGAATAACGGGCCGGTGCTACCTCGGCCCAATGAAAGCTAGATAGATGAGCTGACCCCAATTGGACAATCACTTTTTGTACATTTTTTTTATTTTCAAATTTACTTCCTTTCTGCTTTTGTTATTTTTTTTTTATTTTTTTTTTATTTTTTTATCATGG